AGTGTGGCTTTGTTCAGAGTTTACCTTAAGGTCATAAAATTGTAAAGTTCAATGATGCGTAACACGTGCAGTCCTGCCCCAGGTCTGTCATCAATTTTTTTCCCAGGCCCTCTATTCATATGCTGATTCTACAGATATGTAGGAACCTGAGCATGTCAGGGTTGTCCCATCCCTACGTGAGAATGTCCTGGAGACCACCGTAAGGGTTAAATATTCCCAAACTCCTCGGAGTGAAATAGCAGGATCACTCATGGGCTGCTCCAGAAGAAAGCAGCATGGGTGGCCGGGACCACCTTAATCTCTCTCTTTACTGAAGTTTCCTTCTCCCCTTAAAAAAAAAAAAAGCACTTCCCTAATGATATATTCTGCGTGCGCACGCGCGTGCGCACGCGTGTGTGTGTGTGTGTGTGTGTGTGGTTGCTTCAGGAAGGGATCTAACTGTTTAAGAGAAGCAGATGAGTAGAGCACAATATGCAGGTCTTCATACTATGTTGTCTATCAAGTGTCAGAACCAAACTGTTCCCTCCACATTTTTCCTGAGCTTTGCTAGGATAAATTTAGGGACAGTATAAGATGTACTAGCGAATGGCAGAGTGTGTGTGTGTGTGTGTGTGTGGTTGCTTCAGGAAGGGATCTAACTGTTTAAGAGAAGCAGATGAGTAGAGCACAATATGCAGGTCTTCATACTATGTTGTCTATCAAGTGTCAGAACCAAACTGTTCCCTCCACATTTTTCCTGAGCTTTGCTAGGATAAATTTAGGGACAGTATAAGATGTACTAGCGAATGGCAGATGAATTATTCAGAAAATTAGCAAGCAAAGAAGTCTTTTTTTTTGTCTTTTGATGCTTAGAGGGACTGGATGGCATTCTGCTAGATATGTATTAGCTAAACACAACCTACTAGACTTTAAATAGAGAGAAATAATCGGGTGAAGTATTTGGACTGTGGTCCAGTTAATGACATCATTCCTGTCTTCATGTGGCATAATTTCCCTTTTATGGGTTTGAGAAGAAAATTTAGACTCTTTTGCAGCCTCTGGCTTTGCAAAATCCTTATCAGTCAATTCAAAGAAAGATGCAAGAAACGTCAAGATGTGTAATTTCCAAAAGGAAAAACGTAAAGTAAGCTTCAGGTAGCTGTGAGAGCTCTTTCTTCCTGAATTAGCGCCTGATTCTTGGTTTCCTAAGCAAAGATTTTCAATTTTCCTTTATCATAGCTTTTCTGACAGTTGGTGCAGAAAATGCCTAACAGCTTCTCTACAAATAGCATTGTTCCTGATTAACTGTGAGCACAACTTACTGTGAGATAGGAGCACATTGTTCTGGATTAGCCATATCCAAGCACTTCTATTTGGAGTAAGAGTTCCTACATGTTGTTAATTAGGAGCAACTCCTGTTTAGACAAGCCCCCAAGAAAACTGTTCTGGCATGCATGCATACAAATACAGATTGCCTTTATTTGCTGTAAGCAATAATGTGAGCCATGGATTTCGATTTGAGAATATTAAAGGGTCACATGGGCCTGTACAAGGAAAGTGCTCAATTGCTTTAGCTCTCACTTTGCTTTCTACTTGTAAAGGAGACTGTGGCCCTCAGTGCAAAATCTGTCATATAATCTTGAATTGTATGTGGAATTATATATGGAAATATACTGGCATGCACAAGGTTGTTTTCTGGAGTTAGGCTTTTAAAGTTGTAGAAACAGGGATGACTTTTTAAAGGCTTGTGCAGTCAAGATTTCCCCTCATCGCCCTTTCGTTGGCCTTCTCTCTTCCCTCCCGTCTCCCCTCAGACTGGTCAGGTTTTGTCAGAGAACTAATTTTCCTAAGTAGCTCTTGAGAAAAGCTTCTTAGAGCTGAAGAAATATGGTTGATGTCAGATTATGTCTTTTCCAGCCATACTACAGACTAGCTGACAAAATGTGATTAACATTACTTAAAGGAAAGCCATCGAGGTTTGATGAGAAGCCTGTTTCTGAATGCCAAGGGATAAAGAATTTACCAGTTCACTTGACCCGGGTTCCAGTGTGTGCAATTGCATTCGCTGTTACATTTTTTCCTCTTTATCCCCATTTGATTTGGCTCCTGATAGATGTGGCTGAACACTGACACGTTTTTAGAATTCCTGCCCAAACTTTTGATTTATATACAGAAATATAAGCTCAGTGACTTTATGTGAAGTTTTTATATTCGTAGTGTACACTAGATACAATTTGAGTTTATGGAACTACTTTTCCTCCATACAGTTTGTTTTTTAGCAGCTTCAAAGAGGTGAAGGAGCCCCGACTTAGAGAACCATGCGCACTACCTGAGAGAAAACCTGAATTCCCTTTCTCTTCTTCCTTCCAAGTCAGTTAGCGTGGAAATGATTCAGTATGGATACCATTGCTATACACTGCAGAAGAAGTTGCCACTTCCGTTTGGAAACTGTGGATAGATTTGATTTTAAGTCTGGTTTCTTGAGGCTTATGTGATCATGCTCTGTTTGGCCTAATGATTTTGTAACCTCTTTGTAAATTTGGATCCAATTTAGCAAATGAGTGGAGATAATTAGGGTGATGAAATTTCTTCCGGTCTTATAAATATAGGGAAAAAGATATAGCAGAGAGACCGTATAAACGCTCTGAGTGAGGAAAAAGGTTGCAGTGGGAACCCATATCTTCTGACATGAGAGTGAACTAAAAAGAAAACACTTACTTACAAGTCCACCAACTGCAGAAAAACCTTCAGTCAGATTGTAAGGCATACCTCCTCAGTTCTGGTGCTCTTGGCTACTTGCGTGGTTATGAAATACCATACCAATCTTGGCGCACTTTAACACATGGATTGTACAAAGAATTTGGTAGAACAGGGTTCCCTTTTGGGTCAGATTTTGTGTCAGATGAGCTCCATTCGTTTACACTTTCACCCGTGTCTCAAAGTGGGGTTGTGTACATATTGTATGCCTTTTCCATAGTTTTATTCGTACAGAGTATTGTGCCGCATGAGACTGGATGAACGTTAATAGAACCTGAAATATATTTTAAACGTAAAACTCAGTGAAAAATACTCATAATTGCATGTTCTATAATTAAAACTGTGTAGGCCTTTCTTTCTAAGTATGGCAACAGCTGTTAGAGTACATCTGGAAAATATGTTTTAAGCAAAGAGATTTTAGCTCAGAGAATTTCACAATGCATGGGATATTTACCAGTGCTCCTTTCCAGAATACTAATCTGATTTATCCATGTTTTTAATATAAAAGCATTCATTTTTCATGATGTTTGCAAATCTGGTTTTGAATTCATATCACAGATTGGGCGTTCCAGTGTAGTTCAAGGCAAAGTACTGCAAAACAGAAACATTGCTCTGTTGCTATCTGTAGATGTTTTTAGGCAGAAGCCTACTTGAGCCTTGTCTAATTCCTAAATAATATGATCTTTACCTTTTTTGGCCAAATACTTTTCCTTTCCTTTCCTTCATGTTAGCACCCTCCTGCACCAACCCCCTTTTTAGAAAACAGAGGTCGTTGCACCTCCCTAGAATTATTATAACATTAATCAGAACTTCTCTGAAGTCAGTGAGAGTATGTACAAGGTCAGATCCTGGGCACTTGAAAATAATGGCAACATTTCCATTTGTGATAGGAGCCCAAGAGTTGTGTCTTCCATGCTTTCTTCGTAAGTGTTGTATATACGTGGCATTTAAAAAAGAATTTCTAAGATTGCTGATTAAAATGGAGAAGTAATACAGAAGGTTGCAGAAAACTTTTAAAAATCTCTATCCGTTAGTTTATTGATAAATAGATTGTTACACATGAAACTAGTTTGGAAAAATGACTAAAAATAAAGATGTGGAACCCCAAAACTACTAACTAGCAAGGTGATTCTCCAAACAGGATTTTGCACTCTGAGCCAAGTGTCTCAAAAACAGCTACCTAACCTGCTTTCAAGATTATGGGTGAGAATTTGCAGATAGATCTGATAATAAAATTTCTTCGTGGCCAGCAAACAGAGAGGATATACACGCAGTTCCCAGAGAGAGAAATCAGTTTCCCTTTATTTAGAGTAGAAGGCAACTTTTGTGTGCCAAATTGCATTGCGTTGAAACAGCTTTGCGACTGAATTTTAAATCATAAAAGCTATACTGGCTGTGCAGCTGCAGGCAAAATGCAGTTGCCCAACCAATGAAGAAAGTACAGCTAAAAAAGCGAATAAGGTTCAACAAAATGTATGGCGGTGCTACTGCAAAATCAAAGAGCAACATGGAACGTATTCGTGGTAATGTGGGAAAACTAATTCCAAATTATTGACAGTTTAATTGACATACATAAAGGAAACAGTTCAGTGTGCTCAGAATATTGTACTGTTCTTCATTTTTCAGTTTTTTCCGCTGGACAGAAAACTAGTTTTTCCGTGTACTGAGTTTAAAATTATAACAAATTTTTCATACGAATTGTTTGGCAGTCGGACCCTACCACTGCACGTCTGAAAAAACTTTTCCTCTTGCATTCGAAAACTGCAAAGCCCTTCTTGTGAACCAGGCGTGGGGACGTTTGCCAAACTTTTCCCAATCTTGCTGGTTATGTCAATCCTTTGCAAAGGATATTCATAAGGTGATTTGACCTGCAGGCTCAGACTTCATGAAGAGAAGGTCATTAAAGATCGAAGGCACCACCTCAAGACCTATCCCAACTGTTTCGTTGCCAAAGAGCTGATTGATTGGCTGATTGACCATAAAGAGGCCTCTGACCGAGAGACAGCGATTAAACTTGTGCAGAAATTATTGGATCACAGCATTATCCATCATGGTAAGTGCAGTATCAGCTGCTACAGCTGTTCCAAGCTGAATTTTATTGACTCCAGTGAAACAGCCAGGGAGCTGCTGCTCACTTTCCTCGGTCACGTGTAGGACAGGTAGGATCCCTTCCCGGTGCCAAAGGGAGCATTTTCCTTGCACTGTGCTGCTCTACAAGATCCCCAGTGTCCCGAGGAACACTGAGAGGCAAAAGAGGTATAACACGGAGCTTGAAGATCCCAGACTAGGCTCCCCCCGTCCGTGCCGGGGGTGAAGTCACAGAAGACCATGTTGCTGGTTTGCCTGCAGGTAGCAGCTGGCTGGCCCCGTCCCCCACTACAGCAGGGTCTCCCCCGCTGCAGTCGCCCCCCTTTTCCCCAGCATGCAGCCCACTCCTCCCCTTCCAGCGGAAAAACCTATCCATCTGAAAAATAAGCCGTCAAAAAAGGTCATTTTTCTCACATGGATTAGTTCTCCGCTGCTGTCCCTCACACCAGCTGCACAAACATTTGTGCTGGTACAGCTGCAAGAAAGTTAGTTGTCAAACTGTGCCCTGATTAATTTTCTCCTGAACTTGCTGTCTGGTTTGGTCCCATTGCGTTCAGCTTCCCGAATAACAATTTGCGCTTATGAAAAGGAGACTGCCAAACCAGTGATAGCATTTAGTTGCCTTTTGGTGCACAAAAGGGCGAGAAAGTACACGAGCAAAGAAGATCCAAGCCCTTTATTTCAAGCATATGGTATTACAGATTATAAAAAGCCAAAATGTACCATATGTTTCTTTTTTAATGGAAAATAGAGTAATTTTGCTAACTGACGGATGTTGACTTTATACAGAGGTCATTGTATGTGCATCAATACCACTGCTATCAGCAATATATTAGCAACACCTGAATTAAAGGAGGAAAATGCACATACTGAATGCGTGCCACTTCTACAGCTTTTGCTTGGCTATTAAATTAAAATTCTGGGTTGTTATGGAAACTGGGAATCACAGTAGATAGTTAAAGAATAAAGTAATTATAGGGTATTCAAATCTGACTGCTTAATCCTCTATTGAGAAAATGTCACTGAAGAGTTGCATGGATTCCTGAGAGACTTAAATTAGTTGAGCAATAGATATTTTATTGCTGAATACGTTTAAAACTTTAACAACCTTCAATTGTTTCCCACCTCAGAATCCAACTGCAAAATTTCCATACAAATTTTATATATATGTATGTATGTATGTATGTATATAGAACATATATATATGTATATATATCACACACAGACCTAGTGTTTTATGAGCATTTTCATGTATTGCAGTCAAAGGTAATAAAATTATTTGTCAAGTATACTTTGACTTAAGGCAAATTCAGATAGGTTCAGTCAGGTTCTGCAAGGTGCTCAGAGCATCCTTTCACCTCCAGTGACAAGTGACAGTGGTACCAGTTCCCGTTCCATGCGAGTGCCCGTGGCGCAGAAGGTGAGCCCATGCATGTGGGCTGACAGCTCTGCTAAGAGTGGTTTGAGTGGGATGTCATCCCCTTTAATTTATGCCTTTGCTGCGGCTCTGTTCTGGCATTTACAGGAATCTTCCATCAGCTGCTCTCTTATAAATCCTTATTTAGCATTTCTCAGTGTGTACCTTCCATTTGCTAGCTGGCATGGCAGAGCAATTGGGACAATTTATGGGGCAGAAGGCTTTGCTTTTAACTGTTTCTGCAGCAAGTCTCAGATTTTCTACAGCATTGCTTCAGGGATGCAAGTAACATTAAGTTGCTAGCCATTCCTTAAATGATTGAGCATCCTGCTCTAGAGTCTTTAAACCAACAAGCTACCCATTTTCATCAAAAGGCTTTCCAGGCATGTAACAAATGGATGCTTTTTTGCTCTTTATGTTTGTTGCAGTGCTCACCGAAATGGATGAATACCTATCTGTCTCCCTCAAACAGAAATGTTATCATCTATCTAAAAGTTATCTTCAGTCCTTCATCCTTTATTAGAACTCAATACGGTTGTATACTAAGAAATATAGAGGACGAGACCCTATATGCACTGCTTTGAAGTTCACCAGTGATACCTGCTACATGGATTCTGAGCTCTTTAACAATACTATGATGTTTTTATTATTTTATCTTTCAGTTTGTGATGAGCATAAAGAATTCAAGGATGCCAAACTCTTTTACCGCTTTAGAAAGGATGATGGGACGTTTCCGCTGGATAACGAGGCAAAGGTGTTCATGAGAGGACAGAGACTGTATGAAAAGTGCGTATCGATAGTGTGTTGATAAAGGTACCATAGGAGGCAAATGATAGTTGATAATCTTTTTTTGAATAATCAGACTTTCAAATGATACGATAATAAATCTGTGTAATCACATGACTTATTTTGTAACCTTTCCCTCTCTTTCCTATTTTCCTTTTGTTGTTCTACAATGTTCACTTGTAGCATTTTCTTTAAAATGAAATTACATTTTCTTCTTTTCTGACTTGTCAATCCATCCTGCATGGGAACCCAACGTACATTTAAGGCCTTGCACCCTACCAGTAAAAATATTTGTTAGTGGACGATTTTCCTTGTAAAGAAGTAATCACAAGACCTAAAACTTTAGTATATCAAAATGTACTGAACAAGTGGCTCCATGTCTGTTGAGACTCCGTATCTATGGCAGTAGACACCAGTAGATATGATTTTAAATAATAAGTGAAGCTAATCTTCACTGTTCCAGTCTGCAAAGTTTCTGTACCAGAAAGATTGTATTAAAAGTAGTTGCAAAAAAACTCAGCCAAGAACATCTAATTAAGATTTGAAACAGATGATTATCCTGAGATGCTGCATATCCCACTGGGCTTTTTCTGTCAGATAACCAGGCAGTTTAACCATACTTCCAAATCTATAATTAATGACATTTTTATTCAGGATGTAGGGATTGTAATGTAGTACTTTGAAGCAGAGTGAACACAGAGTGAAGCAGGGAGAACACATGTTGGCATTTACTACAAACTAAAGCAAAAGGTATGATGTGTAAAGCTTGAAGCATTATTCTAGACTTAATGCAGCACACGCTAGTGCTCCGTTGGAGCAGAAAGTATACAGCAGTCATGAGAGACACAGTATCATCTGGCTGGATTCATTTTGTTTTCCTCTTAGAATAAAGCAAAAGTTAGTAATTGCACAGAGAAATCTGTTAAATAGAAGCCTGAAACCACACCATGACCTCCCCTTGAAAAACCTCTTGTTACTCAGGTGTCCCGAGGTTTTCCAGATTTCCAGAGCTTTGCCAGTGCTTTGCCTTCTGCTTCAGCTGCACAAGAGGGCAGACACGGAAGACTGGCAGAACTGGGGAAAAATGCCAAATTCGCTGTTCAAAGCTGACTTTCCTGCCAGGTGACTGGGTGTGTAGCTGGAAGTACCTCTGAAACACTCGCCGGCTCTTCAGGTTGCTGCCTGCTTTCCGCAGAGCGCAGCGCTGGCCCAGAAGCGTGGAGCTGCTTCTGCTGCGGCCAGCGAAGTACATCCAGTTTAGGTGAGACGTTGTGGGTCAGTGGGAGACCAAGGAAAAAGCATATGTAGTGAGGAACCCTTATGAAATGTTGGTGTATGAAAAGTGGCAAGACTGAAGGATGACCTCTGAAATACAGGACATTTGGTGCAATGATGAAGGTTCATCACTGGGATGCACCCTGAGTGCTATTTTTTGCCTCCAGCAGGAACTCCATAGCAATATGCTATTTTCTAAGCTGACTGGCTTGTGATCCAAATGATCTTTGTACTTCCAGGTGCTACAGATTAAATGAGTCTTTCCTGAGGAGGCGAAAGAGTGGAAAAATGAGGCCCCAGTTGCTTTCTCTAAATGTTAATTGTCACATTACATCTCATTAACCTTAGTGGCCTCCTGCAATGTTCTTAGTCAAGATGCCATTCTCTTGCGCTCAGTCTTCCGTAAAGTAAAAAAAAAAAAAAAACCCAAAACCAGAAACGCCCTTTGTCGGTCATGTAAGCTTGTAAAGTGTTTTCATACTCAGGCATGATGATCAAAGTACCTACCTGTACAAAGACCAAGAGATCAGCAGAAAGACCTATGCAGACTGTGTATTTTTTTACTGAAACTCTGTTACAGGTATCAAGCCAATCCCTTGTTTAAAAGCTGATGATAGGTATTGTTTTCAACGTTGGAAGGATATGAAGGACAATTTCATGAAAGAATAATTAAACTGAGATGTAAAACAATACTTGTAAATGCCACTCCTCTTGTTCCACCCATCAGGTAAAATTTCCTGAGACTCAGTGACTGTGAGTATTTGCAGTAAAACTAAATTGGTTAAAACAGAAGAAAATGCACTTGCGGGAAAAGTCCTTCACTAGATTCACTGAGGAAGAGCAACTGAATCTCCCATTGCAAAAATCCCCTATACCTTGCTGAGCATAGTATTTGCTCCTTTAGACTCTGTCAACACGCAGTGCCTGCAGGCCTTGCCTGTACTATGAAAAGTCGATTGGCATGTCTACAATTGCAAATCTTCTTTGTCTATTTGTAGCTCAGGTGAGCAACATCATTTTTTGGTGGTGTAGCTGGTAACAGTCCCATGCCTGGAAGGAACCACAGTAGGAAAAATACTGTTCGGGGAGGGTATCTGCTTCTATCCTAGTGTTTCAATGTACAGAAACATCCCGAAACCAACCTCTAGCATCCAGTTTATCTTACACTATACGAGTAGAAACGTGTTTATAGTAGTATAGATTGTTCGCACCTTGGGAAAGAAGTTAACGCCGAAAGGAGCACCTTTATCTGGATATAGCAGTGTCCTCATGAGGTAGATGCTCTGGTCAGCATATCTAGAGGGTTCAGAAACTTTTAAACCCAGCCCTGAGAGCTGAACATAGTATAGATTACAAGTGCATGACGTTTCAAAAGTAGCCCATGATAGTCAAATCTAGTAAAAATGCTCCATGGATCATTGGAAATGTTCTATATTCTTGAGAGATAAGAATGCATACCTGGGCTACTTGAGTTTTGCCCTGCTTATTGCAGCAAATCCGGTCTGTAGGGCACTGTGATTTCATTTATGCTTCTTGTCCATGCACGCTGATTAGCAACACCCTCAAAATTTCATTGAATACGTTCTAAATTCAGCACCAAGTAGCCAAAGTCAGCCTAGCATAGAAGTTCTGTGGTGAAATGTTTATGGTAATATATCTGCTGTATCGTGCTTATAGTGTTGAGAAACAAAATATTAATTCAGCGTAATTAAAATAGCAATTAAATGGCAACAACTGGAGAAAAGAATATTAGGACATTGATTGCTGTCTATAGCATTCGTGCAGAGATATGAAGTCACTTACCAGTATATTCAGCTTGTTTGTCAAAAGACCTGAAGGTCTAATTTCAAGAGAGATGGAGTGAAGCCAAAGGAAATTTATCTGAATCCAGCATATATTTTTAAAATCTTTGTCAAAACTTTTTAGTTCTTGCTGAACTTCATGAGGCTTTGTTAGTTTAAGATGCGTGTTATGCTATTCTCTGCTCTTCTCCACCTATCACGTTTGAGTTAGAGTACTGTTACGTTCAGAAGCCAGTATAGTTTATACTTGCCAAAAATTGTTGACATGTTATGCAATGTCATTCCATGCAGATTTTTGCCCTCAATGGATTATTTATGAGCAAAGTGAGTTAGGAAGATCAGCAGATTGTTGAATGGACAGAGGAATGCACTGGGCAGGAGGATGAGACGTTCCCTGCATTCGGCCAGCTGTTTAGGGCAAATGCTCTGTGCTCTTCCCTGGGACACAGGAACATCAGGTCTGTCCCTGAGCTGAGAAACTTCCTTCCCCTGTCTGCCTTCTACATGGCCACAGAGCTCCTTGTGCTCTGTATTCTCCTCTTCTTCACCTATTCTCCTAGGTCCTTCACCTATTGTGAATGACTTTGATGGATGCACTTGTGTGATTATAAGATTTAGAATCGGTCTCTGACTGTATTCTTGCTCCATTTACACTGAAAAATCAGCTCTGGTTCCCTGCACATAAATGCAGACTTTGCTAATCCATTCTGTGAACATGCTTTGAGTTTCAAGTTTATAACTAGAGGTGAAATCTGGTGGCTTTCTTGCAGCTTCCAGTCTTATGAAAATCCTTGAATGGTTTATTGGAGCCAGGGATGGTATGAGTTTTCATACTGTACAGGACTGACCAAATAGTGTGTATAAGATAAGCATGCTTCCTGTTGAACAAAACCCTCACTGCAAATCTTAAATGAGTCTAAGGCAGACCTTTCCTGGGTTTTGTTAAAGTTCAATTTGTGCATGACATGCTCTTTTTTCTATGTTTGCAGTCCCCTCTAGGTTTTGGTCAGGCACACAGAACTGTTGTGCTTCTGGTGAAGGCAGATTTGGGAGCTGTAAGATTTGGGAGCTGCACTCATGACATTGACTGCAACTGAGATTTTCAGCCAGATTTCTCACTGAAAGATGTGCAAATTTATGGTTTTACTTTCAGGAAATCATTCAGATAATTTTGACTCTGCATTCGTTGAATCCTTTTCACTTTGCCTCATCAGTGGTTAATTCAAATTTATCATCTGGTGCGGTTATTTAGATAAAATGAGGTAAACATTTTATTTTCAAAAGAATTCGAATTTCAACATTTGGCTAAATACATTCAGTTAAGGCACGATAACACACGTTTTAGCAAAGAATATGTTTTGACATGAATGGCCTAATATTTTTTGAAAATAAATAAAAATGGAAGAGATAGAGGCAGTTTCCAGTTTTGGCTGATGAAAGGCCAGTTTTTTAACTGATGTAAATTGGTACAGTTTTGTTGACAGCAGTGGAGTTACACTGATTTACTTCCATTAGCGATGTAAGCCTATGGGTTCCTGTTTCTGGGTTTGTTAAACTGTCAGTTTGTCATGTCTGTTTATTCACAAGTCCAAATCCTTTGCAGTTCTATTCTGGGCATATGCAGAAGGGTGTGAAATGTCAAGCTGAGTGTTTTTCCACTTGATATTTTTCCAGATTTCTTTTGTGTCTCTGTAAAAATCGAATAATTAACATCGCTTTTGCAAAGACCTTTCTATGCGCTACTTCAGTGAGCTGGTCAACTAATTATAGACTCGTCAAAGAACAATTAACAGAAGCCTAAGGATTCTTTATGTTGTGCCTGCAGAGCCCGGGTAACCAGTTCTGAGTAACCATACGGCAGATGGTGACATGAGCTTTGGGTTTGCATTTTTTTCTGGGGGGGGGGGAGAAAAGCCTGGAAAATAAGACACATTTAAAGATAGTCCTTCAGAGCTCTCTCTCATGTGCTTAGTGTGGGATGAAGAGCTAAGTCTTGCATGCACACGCGTGCAAACAAAAATGTAAAAAGGTATAGAGACTTAGCAAGTGAGTTCTGGAGTCAATATCTTGTCCCCAGTGGCGCATTCTTGCTTTTGGCCTCATCCTTGACTTCAGCTGATTTTGACTTTCTCCATTCTTACTCAGCTCAGAAGTGCTGGCAGTGACACAGTAACACCTAATGAACAGTTCACGGGATCTGCCACCGGTCTCCAGCTGTGGCAGAGCAGCTGTTGACTGGCTTGATGATCTGCTGCCTGGTGGCCAGAGCCACTCAGTTAAGGCTCCCGGTTCGCCCTCATTGAAGTCAACGGAACATATCTTTTGGGTGAAATAATACGGCCAGGTGCTATCAAACATGTTCATTGTACTTTCAAATGAAAATTTTCTTGGTTTCTTATAACATACATTTCCAAGGATTGACTTCAGAATTCAGAAGTAGCCAAAGGAGGTGGTGTTACTTGTTTATTGTGCTTTCCACTCCAACTTCAGTGTGTGCGCAGTGCCAGCTTCCACATCGTGTTACACCTAAGCGTGCTTGCTAGTTCAGGCCGAGGTTTTGGGGAGAAATATAAAATCAGCTAAGCCAATCTAAATTTTGTGCCTCTTCAAACAAAGAGCCAGAAAAAAAATAAAAAAAGATTATCTTGCAGTTTTCCATTCTATATTGGTTTTAGATACACAAAAGACACAAAGATGGTGGACGGGAGCTTAATTTCTTTGTAAGATATGAATTATAGACATATTGGTGGTTTAACAATGAGATCACCAATGTACGAATTTGCATGAAATTCAAATTCTTGATCGGAAAGACAAAGATTAGGAGCTTGCCAAATCTACTTGTTGTAGTTTAATTGTGCTGTTAGTTTCAAAATAATTGATGAAGGAAGGAGACTTACTAACCTTGTATGGGGAGAAGAAAACAGTCCTCTTATTAGCCTATAATGATTAAACATGAATAGTAATGAAATTCATAAAGAAGGAGCCTACGTTGCTCTGTTTCCAATCAAAAAGTGGGATACTGTATTAAAAGGGAACGTTTCTCATTTCTTCTTCATTTTCAGACTGTCAATCTTATTTTTGCATTAACAAAATACTGAGGCTTTTTTTCTTTTTTTTTATATCGTTTCATTTATTTAGGTTACTCAAATGGAGAAGAATTTATATTACTGTATTTATTTAAGTTATATACGTGCCAAATGCTGTGAGATTTAGAGACTCTTCACAGTGCTTCTCTGAAGTGCTATTGCTCTTGTGTTACACAGAGCAAACCGAGGCAGAGTCTGAGGCTCAGATGTCAAAATGTGTTCAGGTGTTTAACCTCACTGATTGCAGCTGAATCACTGAGGGCTGGAGGCCAAATACTTGTCGATCGTCCAGGCCACAGAACTACCTTGTTTTCTTCTTAAAGATTATAAGGAGAATTTTCAAAAGCGTCTAAATGACTTAGGAGCACGGTAAAAACCATTAGGAATTTCTGAACACTTTTGTCACAAAGTCATACTTTCAGGCTAATTTTGTTTCAGAAAGTTGATTATGCATTAATTTGTAGCGCAGCTGAAGAACTAGTTAAGGGGAGCGTGAAAACTGAAAAACCTTGCTTTCTTTTAGGGAAAAATCACCAAACCATTAACTTTACACTGGGCTATAAAGTCTAAATGTCTTGACTAAGCTGTTAGCAACAATCTTTTTGAATTTGACTGACGTCGCAAGTTTAGCTTAATAAAAGACTTAATAAGTCAATAGAACGTTTCCGTCTATTTGCTTAGTATTAATGAGATTTGCCAGGCTAGATCTGGAGTTGTATTTGGAAGAAGCATTTTCTCTATCCATTTTTCCCTCCGTTCCAGGCTGATGAGTTCGGAAAATACTCTTTTGCAAGCCAGGGAAGAGGAAGGAGTCAAATATGAACGGACCTTCGTAGCGTCGGAGTTCATTGACTGGCTGATCCAAGAAGGAGAGGCCACCACAAGGACTGAAGCAGAGCAGCTCGGCCGCAGACTTCTGGAACACGGAATTATACAGCACGGTGAGAAACTCATCGGACAGGTAGCAAAAGCTACAACCTGTGTAGTAGCCTTTTCTTCCGTTAGAGTCGGGTGCAGGGGCTATTCATTGTCTTGTGGGTCGTAACGTGTCCAAGTTCTAAACAATGTTGAGGTGCAAGTCTAGTCAACTTTATTTATTAAAAGGGTGTTTTTTTCAAAAGCACTTAGTCTTCATTCTGAAAATTCTACCTCAAGTGAAGAAAAAAGCTGGGATTTGGGATTGCAACATAAATATGTGGATTAAAATCAATGTTTTTACATATGCAATAAGTAATTAACTTGGAGACTGTGTTATCAGCAATGAATGCAACTGAGGTAAATAGCTTTTTAAGGCTCAAGTGGGGATTAGAGCCATAAATAAGCTCAATTCTTTATATAGAATAAAAATGACAAGTTCTATATATCCTCCTACTTCAGGACACAATCTGATGTTAGAAAAGAAGCTTTCCCTCTCAGTTATATTGCGCAATTGTTCTAATACGTCTGGGTAAGAAACGGGATATCACCTTCAACTAAAGCATTATTATATTTGTCCTCGCAGTTTAATTTCTCTGAGGCAGGAATCTAATACTTGTTCATGGTCCAGCACAATGTGGCTGGGAGATGCAGCTTCACCAAGGAACTCACTCCGTTAAGGGTGGAGGAGAGAGTTTTCTCACTGTACTGCTCCAAGACCAAAGAACGAACACCCCGAGTACAAAAGACAGTTTTATATTCTGTCATCATCTATTCACAGTGCAAGCTGCACTTCTCGGAGCATGTATTTTCCAACATAAATGTGCAGCTGTGGCTGTGGGAGTGATGAGGAGGGTGCTAGAAGATGAAAGAAAAAACTAGGAGAAGCTGTTAGCCGTGTTACCTAATGCACAACAGAAAAGTAATCAGATACTAGTGATCTGAATGTTGTCAAATCGACATTAATTATGAGCGAGGACAAACAATTTGCAATATTAACAGGCTGTTAACATGCAAGGTGCTAGATTGGCTAGATTGTCAGTCTGCTGTTCGGTGAGAAAACCTAGTCTTAAGGAATAAACTGCATAGAGAAAAGATGGGGGTATAAGTGACCGGCAGTTCCTTCATGGTTGTAATCATGCTCACATTATCTTTAGCTTCCAATTACTGGGAACAGCATCTGGATGTTTATAGCAATCATCTTCCAGTTCTATAATTACCCCTGTGCTTCCTATGATTTACAGGGTGCCAGCTGCTTGGAACTTGATGGACAGGGAAGGTATTCCTCCCCTCCTCTTTATAGCAGCAATGATTTCATTCCTATTTTTACCCGAGTATTTTCTGTGTATTATATGAGGTAAGCTTTCCTTATTAAAAAAAAAAGAGGGAAAAAGAGGGAGATTTACACTACTATTGAGATTTTGTAGAAGAAATAAAGTCAGGACTTGATATCTGGTACAAGCTGGATTTACTTTGCTACTGAAATCTTTGCAGAGCTAAGAAAGTCAGCAAGTGACGTTTATTGCAGATAAGCATTATTCTCCTTAGCTAAGGCATATGATCGGCAGCGTGCATTGACAGGGAAATAATTTTATCCCCATCAAGCAGGGTTCCTGGTGGGATTCCTGGTGCAGTGCTGGCCCCTTGCACCTGCTTGGAATGGCCTGGCCTGTTCTGCACAGTTTTATACCCTGCCTGTCCTCTTGTAGCATACAAAGTGCTCTGTTAGAAAGAGATTTGAAACTCCTGAAGCGACCACAAAAGGGGCACTGGGAATAGACTATTGCTGAAGGAAGTGGCCTTCTCGCCCTGAGGGTGCTCTCCGGCTCCTCACTCACCTTTCGCCATGGCAAAGGTAACTCAATGGGAATTTCACATTGCCTTGCTGGGGAAGCTGGAAGCAAAATAAAACCGAGTAATGTCCTCGAGATTTGTCTTTATCAGTGGCCATACTTTGTGTGCACGTCTAAAAAGGGATTTCATTCTCCTGTGGGCTTCACTGATGCTTTTTGTCCAGGTAGCGTTAGGAGTTATTGCTGAAGGTACAAGCTGAATTAACAGGGAGCTGGCGCGGCATTCACTTTAGCGGCTGGGTACTGTCTGTACGTTTTGTAGGTTTCTGTAGTGTTAGCTTCCTCCAGTAAGGGAGCTAGACGGGGGAATCCCCAGTACAGAACTGTGGATGGAAACAGGAAAACGCCTGTTCTCCTTTTCAGTGTCTCATGGAATTCAGTTACCAAACTAAAAATGCTATTTTTCTACCTCTTAGTACAGTACGTTTGTTTCATCGGACCGTGTTCCCTTTGTGCTGTATGTCATAATCGGTAGCAGAATGCTACTTGACACTAATTGGCACCCTCGTTGGCAGAAGCAGCAGAAAGACTCTCAGCTGAACGGGAGTAGAGAATAAAACATTTCCCGGCCCTAAAGGCAATCTTTTGCTGACAGTATTGTTTGATATGCACAATGTGGAATAAAATAAAGCTTGCTCTGCTATTCTTACTAATTCCTACTTATTACTTTCCTATTGCTTTCTGTTGCATTAGGTAATAGTTGCATCAAGTTGCCAATGTCAGTAGTAATTTTCCAGCCATAACTGAATTGCGGAATTTATTTTTAGCGATAACAACTTTCATTTCAATTACTCAGAAAAGTTATATTTTGCAGCTGAGGTACTATATTCAAAGCAATTTCCTGTCACATTCATCTTCACTGTAATTGGTCAGACACAAACCAGGTTTCACATAGGAAACATACAGCGATGCTAATTTTAAAAAGGAAAGCATTGGTTTAGGAGGAATTGTATAAATGCTGTAAAAACATCAAACATTTCAGATCAAAAACTAATCTTCCTGATCTCTTTGAGCGTAAATAAATTTACATGTTTCCCTTGCCATACACGGAGATGATGAAGCATGATTGAAGTGTGAATTGCTGCGTTCAAAAATTGCACTAACGCATACACATCACAATCCACAAGGCACCGCTTTCACAAATAGAAGCCATATGTCCTTTTCTGTGGACTGATACCCCTAGGTACTAAGGAATAAAAATATTACAGGTAGCAGAGTAGTATGCGCTCTACTTGAAGGCTTGTGCTGGCGCTGTAATTACCAGTAACTATTCTGCATTTGCGAACACTAACTGCATTCACCCAAATATAGGAGCAAAGACTACAGGAAGAAATTATGACCGTGGACACACAGATTCGGTAAGAGCAAGGACAAAAGGAGCACAGAACACATTTTGCAGCTGTATAAAAGCCCATTTCTAGGAAGGTGAGGTGCACAGAGCTTTCTAATATTTACACACGAGAATTTCCTCATGCAGACTGGACTTTTCCCATTTCTTCTTCTTCTGGAAATACGGGGGCAGCTTAGCTACTGTGGTCAAAATTCACATGTAGCAAGAGAAGTAACAAACTAGCACGGTTCTGTGCCAACTCCAGGGTAGCTTAGCCCAAAGTGAGGGGTGGGCTGGGGAAGCAGAGGACAGCGCACGCACCAACCCACAGTCACAGCCCTTGCTTCGTCTGGGAAACAGAGATGCTGAGATGTCCAAGGAGGAAGGAGGGTATCTACAGGGCTCTTTTGTGCGTTATTTTCTGGCTTATACTTGTTGGTTACGGCACCTGCTGCACCTCCCGTTCCAACAGTAGTGCACCTCTGATACGGCCTGCTCCGCAAACTTGCTGCATACGCAAGCGGAGGGCATGAAGAAATGTCTGCACATGTCGCAGACAGGTTTAAGGTCTGGAATCTCAAGCGATAAATACTTTCCATTTTTAAGTCTGGTTAATACTGGTAAGAGGAACTTATCCACGCTTAGGATAGCACCTGCACTTTGCAAGACGAACATTTGCATTTGTTCTGCGGCAGCAACTAAAAATAGAGCATTTTGAAATCCTTTTTAATATTTTGCAGATTGTCAATACATAGTGATTCCCCTGCATTGTATACAGCACGTATGCAATGTGCCTGTGCTGCTCTCCAGGTCTAGTCTGCAAGAAGTGCGTGCCTGAGCAGCCGCGTTCAGCTTTCTCGCCCTTGTGCCAGATCACATTCTGTCTTTTTTGCTGTTCCTATTTTCCAAGCTGCTTCTTGCTGCTGAGTGTATGTATGTGCTTTATTTTATTTCCTTTCCAACACGCTGCCTCTGACCGTTGTCCAGCACCTTCCATAATCCATGCCTGCAGCACATTTAGCACAAGTAGTTTGCAGTATTGTCCACTTTGCTCCCTACCTGCTATGTGAATAAACAGGGGGCTGGGGGGGGGGAGGGTAAAAATTCAGGCTCCCAACTTTAGACCAGCACAAGAGCACATGTGTGATGGGTTTTGGCTTTCCTGAATGACTGAGGGGTGGAAAAACCTCTCCTGTAGATGACTGTCTAGCAGATATTTTGGGTGAAACGTTTTATTAGTGCTAGGATTTTATAGTGATAGTAGAGGTGTGGTAAGATACCTCAAGGATGATGTAGGTGTCTTTATTTTTTTCCCTAATTAAAATACCTTTCAACTTTAAAATAGTGTAATCGAGCTAATTGCACTTGGCCAACTACTGCGAGTTGAAGGCATGTGGGTGTCCTGCTGGCTCCTTGCAGAAGCAGGTGCTTAACACCTCGCAAGAGTTAACCTTTTATCAGCGAAACTCCGCTGTGCAAATTGCTTTCAGAGATGAAAACAAACGCTTCTTAGCGACTTAGTGAGAACAGTAAATATTGGCCTATACTATCTCCCCGTCTCTGCTAAGAAGTCTTAAAACATATATTTATTTTTACCCTATTCTCTGCAAGCACTGTGCACCCTTTATACAGCAAAAGTGCGCTTAACAAAATGATCACTGCATTCGGTATTAAGTGTCGAGATATATGATGCAATTGAAGGTTCACTATAATTGTGAAAGTAGATGAAATATCTAAAAATATATTATTTCTCTTGCTTTTATTGAAAAGCTTCCTTTCTGTCATCTAAAATTTCTGTAAATTGTAACTTACGTGTAGTCACATTTACTTTTCTTATTTCTTG